TTTCTTCAGCAAGAACACCCCAACTGCTTAACAAGAACTTATCACTTCTCATTGTGACTTCTCCCTCTCGATTTGTCATGAAAAATACTTGGGAGTGCCTTCTGAGTGGGGCGCTCTACGAAAGAGACTTTCTCCTTCTTATTAGAAAGGATGAAAAAAGGATGATTCGTGTAAGAGCTTACTTCTTTCTCCGGGAGAAAAGAAGACCCTGCTAAAAGCTATCCTCTAGGCTCTCCCACATTTGTTATGAGTGTTTTTCTTCTCCCTCTTTCTTTAACAACTTAAATGGACTCTATACTTTGAAGATTCTTTTGAGTAGGTTCAATGAGAAAGAGGTCCATACAATGGTGCAAATCTTAGTTGTTTACATCTCTTTAGTGTATATGCTACTCTTTACGTACAAAAGATAACCGAATGAAGCTTGAGTCAAAATGGGTTAGGAATTTGGAGGGAGGAAATCAAGCTGTCAAACTGGTTTAGGTATGTAAAGCGATCAAAAGTGGGAAACGAAGAAACCTGAAGGCGGCGGGTTCGGATCTCGTCGGAGGTGTTGGCACCGGTGATTTCAAGTGGCCGCCCAGGTTCAGGTTCCATCCGACAAATGAGGAGATGATTCTTTATTACTTGAAGAGGAAGATCTGTAGGAGTTGTCGCAGTACGGTCTCTGCTTCGACGGCACCCTCGACGAGAAGCGGGCCTACTCGGTGATGTACTCGAACCACCAATATTGTGGTGAGCAAACGACGACACTCGTCATTACGGCCTATAGCCGGTTATACCGATCCTTTCTGGATTGGTTAAGCTTCCTTTTCCAGAAGCTGTACTCCTTCTCTTGCGGAGTTGTTCGTTTCAAGCAATGAAGGAGGTTACTTGTATGTGGTTTGTAAACATCATATTTGTGTTCTTTGAAGGAACTCAGTTAATTGAGGATTTCTATTCTTCTGGCTAAGTCCTGGTTATTAATCAACGGTATCTTATCAAATACCATAAATCCAACAATGAAAAAACAGCCGGCATTAGTGCCGTGACTGTACCACAGAATCCGCCATTGTTACGGTTATGGGATCTCTGATATATATAAGCCGAGTTTTTTTCCTTCTTAAATCATCTTTTTATTCCGTTTAAGTTGATAAGTATTACTCTGATATTTATCATGGAGGTTACGGAAATTAATGGTTTTAATATAATAATTAATTAATCCCCTAAAGCAATTAAACTGATAAAAGCCTTCCGTTGGGGAGCGGATCGTGTCAGTAACTGATGGGTCAGTAACCCATCAGTAACTCCTTCTCTGATCTCCACGTGTCAGTCCTCTTTTTTTATTTAAATTAAATGCGAAAGGGCAGTAAGGTAAAATTGCACTTCTCTGATCTCCACCTCCTTCTCTCTCCTCGAAAAAGCTTTAATTTTTCTTCTCTTAATCTTTAACGGACGATTTCTCACTCGTTTTAAGTTGGAATTTAATTTTTTTTGCACAGTTAGATCAGATTAATTGTGCCCTTCAAAATGATATCCACTTTGATATTTTTTGGACATAAAAAAATTTCCAGTTATTACCAGTCTATACCATATGGTATTGACTGGTATTAAATAAGACCATACCACATGGTATGGTAATATCAATATATATTTCGTTACCAACCAATACCATATGGTATAGTGTGGTAATATCAAATATATATTTCGTTACCACCCAATACCATATGGTATAGTGTGGTAATAGCAATATATATTTCATTACCACCCAATACCATATGGTATAGTGTTGTAATATATCACACAATACCATATGGTATATAGTGGTAATATCAATATATATTTCGTTACCACGCAATACCATACATTACCATAGGGTATAGTGTGGTAATATCAATATATATTTCGTTACCACCCAATACCATATGGTATAGAGTCATAATATCAATATATATTATCTAAAAGGAAAAAAACAGAAGGAGGGAGAGAAAAAATCGTCTTCTGATGCCTCTCATTTCTTCTTCCTCAATCAAGAACACCAAAATGCCAAAAAAATGAGAAAGATCGGAATTGAGGCCAACGAGTTGATGAAGAGAAGAAATGCAACGAAAGAGAGTGGCTACAATTTTTGTTCGTCGATTGCTAGAGAAAAAAAATGAAGAAGGAAGAGAGCAGATATAAATTTGAAAAGGAGATTGTGAAAGAAAAAGTAAGAGAGAAGGAATAGAGAAAGAGAAAGGATCTGGAAAGAGATTGAAAGAAAGAAAAAGAGAAGGAAGAAAGTTGAGTTGCAGAGAAAATCTCATTCTCTCTCTTTCATTGAAAAGTTAGCCATTGAAATGCGGAATGAATAAAAAAATTAAAAATACGAAATGGACAAAAATGCTCCTACCCACCCCACATCCAGCCCAGCCACACGATTGCTCCATTCCCAAATCGACGGCTCCCGTGTGATTACTGATGGGTCAGTAACCACTGGTTACTGAACCTATCTTGGACCCTTCCGTTGGATTAAATTCGGTTTTGTTGCATTGGCATTTGGCAACCTACGTCCAGAGCATTCTTCTAATTTCTTAATTGTTCGGTTACGGATATAAAGCTTCCTTATCTGTTGGATGTTTTCACGGTGGAAAAGTAGTTATTGGTTTTTATTATTTTTGGATTTTCAGTTATAATTATAATCAAAGGTTATGGTATTAGTGACTATTAATTATTAGTCCTCGTTACAGTTATTTGGATTTCTCTTTTATTTTCCAAAGCGCTATTATGGTTACCTTCTTTAATTTACTTGAACCAGTTTTAGCCACGTAATTGCCTACTTTATGCTCATTTAATACAATAGTTATTGAGTTTAGTAACCACTTTTTCACAAGTCGGTTGCAAGGCTTTATGGTCAGAAACGGCTAGCGCCGGAAAAGCTTTAATTGTGCTTTCAAATCGTCTCCTTAATGACGAGCTAGAGTGTTTTAAAACTCAAATAAGGAGATTCTTTCGCCAGCATAATGAGGCGTATTCAAAGGACTCCCTCAAATAAATATGCTCCCAAGGCCTAATTAATGCAATCATCCAACAATTCGATACTAGAACTGATTGGCCAACAATTGAGTCAATTCGGTAATTATACATCATGGCCAGCAACGGCTTCCGCCAGAAAGCTTTTATTGGTCATCAATTTAATGAGTATCTATGCATTTGACTATCCAAAATGTCAGTTACGGGAGGATTCTAACCGTTTCAGACTATGGTTGAAATCGGCCCTTCAAACTCGTGGAGTAAACTGCCTTAACCGATGCCCTGTCTGATGGAGACATCGAGAAAGCGTTGAACATTTATTCTTCAGATGCCCCCTAGCCATTAGATTGTGGACTTTAGTGGGATTGAGCAACTTTATTGAGACCGCCCAGACTGTTAACTTTAGTCTATGGTGGCGACATGTCATGGTCTCTGAGACCGCCCCATTCCACATTCTCCAATGCATCTGTTTACTTTGGAGAATCTGGAAGTCTATAAATAAAGTGACATTCGAATTTTACCAACATCATGTTCGTTCCCTAGCCAGCCAGTTCTACAACCAGGTCCTCGAAGTCTCCTATCTTCTCCTTCCTCCTCCACCCCGCAGTTCTACTCCCAAACCATCCTGCCACCTCTTGGGTCCCTCCGCTAGAAGACTTTTTGAAGATCAACTTCGACGCTGCTGTTTGTGCCACCGGGTGTTCGTCCGGGCTTGTTATCCGTCGGTCAGACGGGCATGTGGTGTTGGCGTTTGGGCTGCAGCTTCAAGGAATAGTCAATCCTTACCTGGCAGTGCCTATAGCCTTTAGAGATGCTATCTCCATCGTAGCCTCAAGATCCTTGACCCGCGTGATAGTCGAAGGTGATTCCGAAGTGGTCGTCAAACAAGTTCGTCAAGGCGTCATAGAAGACTCGATTGGTGGTCCGGCGTTATGAGAGTGTCATCAGATCCTTAGCTCTTTGTCTGTTTGTATAGAGTTTAGGGCGGTACCTAGATCCGCCAACAGTGCTGCCCATAGAGTGGCGCGTAAAGCACTGCTTTTGTCTCGTTTAGAGGTAGAATCTTTTGATTTTTTTGGGGTGGCTTCTTTAGAGTGTTTTAGGGGTCCTGGGTAGAATTGTAAGTTTAACTATTTTCCTCCATTGATATCACTCAGAAATAAATAAAAAGAAGCTTGAGTCAAATCTCATGAATGATTTTTCTTGGATATTCGAATAGAAGTAAAACGTATATATAGAGTGTTGGATAAATGTGCCTTTAAGGTAGATGAATCTATTCGTGTAGTATTTAATGTAACTCATACTTTCATCGAGAATGATAGTGCACCGGACGAAAATAGTGCTTCCTTCAATGAGCGAATTGAGGATGTCTTTAATGATCCGTCAATCTCTTCTCAAATCAACTCAACTCAACCAAAGACTCCACCTTGCGCTAAACGTTCAAGAACGTCGTTTGAAGGAACTAGTCATTGGTGATCGAAATGCTCCATTACAATATGTAACGATGATAAGTATAAATAAATCGTGAAAGGACTCGAATTAGAAGCGAATATGTATAAATAAAATTTATTAGACAAGACAAGTGTAATTCAAATGAGATAACAATCGAAGTATAAAACCTAAAGTTGTTCCAAAAAGATACATCTGTACATGAGAAATGATACTGAAATAGAGTCCGTAAATACACAATATCTCAGAAGCTGTCAGGCGAAAGAGCAAATGCAGTAGTAGAACCATCATCCGCAAAAGGAAAAGCAGGGGAAGACAGAGGAGAACCGACTGGGCTTCCAATTGCTCCATTTCCTTCCCCAGAAGTTCCTGCAGCACCACCATCAGCACCGCCTGAACTCTTGGGCAAAATGTACAATGCGCGACGAGAAACAGCATTTCCCCTGCTGCAGATATCATGCAAGTTCATTCCTGCAGCAGTCACACCAACAAATATAATTAAGTCGTAATATTTTCAGCGTCTGGTTTAGAACATAGCAGGGACTTGTTGTGTAGGTAAGTAATTATGTACAAAATATGTTACCTTCAGCTTGAGCCAAGTTGGAGTAGAGATCGAGGATGTTGGGGCAGTTGCTGAAACACGGCTGGGAGCAGAGCTTGGCAACGAAGTTTGGGGAGAGAAGGTAATCAGAAGAGATCCCAACGACGTTTCTGTCAAGGCCGCAGTCGTTGATGCATGCTTCCGTCTCGATCCATCCGCTCATCGTCTCCATCACCACTTCCGATGTCTTGCATTGGTACTTCACCATCCCCTTCCTGGCCAAGTAGTTCTCCAGCACGCATCTTTTCCCTGTGTCCGAGATCGAGTAGGCGCACAGCTCTACTGGCAACTCCTCACATATCAGATCGCCGATGGCTCCGTTAAGGATCAGAAGGGAAGACAGAGCGAACAGAGTGATCGTCTTTAACAAGGCAGCAGCCATGTTTGGTGTATCTCGTTACTTGGGAATGGAAGCTGTGTTGAAGATGTAGAAGGAAGGCAGGATGAAGGAATGTAGAGAGATGCGGATGTATGTATATATAGCTGGGGACTGGGAGAGGAAACAATTTAGTTACAGGTCAAACTGTGTGTATGTGGGTAACGGCCGACTCCATTCCCTGCTATACAAAATGTGTAAGAAAGTTAGATTTCTCATTTCTCCAACATAGAACAATGAACATAGATTGATGTGAAAGGAAAAGGAAATGAGGTGGCGGAACTTTTAAGGCCTGCATTGTTTTGTTTTCATTACCCTGGGAACATCTTTTTGTTTTCTTTCGACACCATAACTTAATATTCATTACATAAAGCTTCCATAATGACTTGACACTTTATGTAACTTAAGGTTAATTCTCATTACGTAAAATACACATCCATTACGTAAAGGATACGGAATGACAGTTGTTTCTTATGTAACAGTTAAATTAGAATCGTTACGTAAGTCTTCCGTAATGACTTAACATTTTACGTAACACGAGCTAACATTCATTACGTAAAATGGTTGTCCATTACACAAAGCTTCCGTAATTACCTTTTACAATTGTTACGTAAGATAAGCAAAGGTTATGTAACCATTATGTAATGACTATTATATTTTACGTAAGGTATGGTAGGAAATTCCCTTTTACAATTACCTTTAATTTATAATTACCTTTTACAACATAAGAAACCTGCTATTGCAGGTAAAAAAATTCCAGTTACCTTACTTCAAGGTATGGTAGGAAATTCTCAAAAGATATAGAGAGATTCATATTTTTATAGTTTGAAATTCGAAATATGTTAATTTATTAAAAATGAAAAATCAAAACAAAGGCAATAAGAAAAAAGTGCATTGTTAGTTTCTTATAATCCATCTGAGAGTTTAGTTAATTTAGATACGAAACAGAATTCAAAAATGCAAAGGGGTGGAGCGGCAGAGAGAGTTATGAGTATATTCCAATTAAATACGAATATGAGGGATCGGTTAGCTTGCTAACCCCTCTATGGGGTTGAAACAATGACACCCCCAATTAATTATAGTTAATTATGGTATTAAATTCGTGTTGTATTTAATAATTTTTGGAAATTAAAATCTCATATTAATTACATTCCTTTTTTGAACTACTATTGCACTGATACAACTATCATTGCACTTGTACACTGAAGTCATATTAATTACATTCCTTTTTGAACTACCATTGCACTGATACAACTACCATTGCACCTCTACATTGATATCATTGCACTGGTAGAACTACCATTGCACTGAAAAAATGAAAGTAATTCATATGAGTTTCTAATTCAGATAGATTATTAAATGCAACACAAATTAATTATCTTAAAAGCCTACAATTAATAAGGGGTGTCATTTTTACAACCCTTTAGGGTAGTCATACTATCTCATCACTGAATATGGTGTGTTCATTGTTCTTCAGCTTAATTAAGCGTCAATTTTATAATATACAGGAATTAAGTGTTGACGTGGCAAGAAAATGAATGAACTATTGTAATTAAGCGTCTGTCTAGAGTGCGGATCTGGTGACTACGGGGGGTGCTTAGTCACTTGACTAAGCCCCTCCTAGCCATTAGATCTGGACACTTCAATCCAATGGTTAAAAAGTGGGAAGGACTATTTAATTAATGGCAGGGGTAGTTTGGGTATTATGAAAAATTACGAAGTATACAAACCGGATTTACGAAGCATACAAACATATGAACAATACAAACTAGAGCGACAAAACATACAAACAGATTTACAAACATTACAAACGTATGAACTGTACAAACAATACAAACTAGACCGACAAACAATACAAATCATACAAAAAGAAAAAAACAACCGGGTTGACTTTGGAGGCTCCATCCCTATATAGAGGGGCTCCTTCCCAAAGTCAACCCGGGTGTTTTTTAGACATACAAACAGTACGAACATGGTGGACAAAAATGACAAACTAGACCGACAATCCATACGAACGAGAAAAAACTCCTGGGTTGACTTTGGAGGCTCCATCCCTATATAGAGGGGCTCCTTCCCAAAGTCAACCCGGGTGTTTTTTAGACATACAAACAGTACGAACATGGTGGACAAAAATGACAAACTAGACCGACAATCCATACGAACGGGAAAAAACACCCGGGTTGACTTTGGAGGCTCCATCCCTATATAGAGAAGTTTCATCCAAAAGTCAACCAGGTTGTTTTTTAGACACAAAAATAACAAAGTTTACGAACATTACAAAATAACAAAGCGTACAAACATTACAAAATATGTCAACAAACATCACAAAATTGGCACTGTCGCTGGAAAATTCTTCTCCGTCCACGATGGTCGCCGGAAAAAAAATTTCCGACCAGAATCTCTCTCTCTCTCGGGAATGGAATAATGGCGCCCAGGGGAATGGAATAATGGCGCCCAGGGGAATGGAATAATGGAGCCCATTCTTTCTTTCGGAAATTCTCCGGAGGCGGCGCAATTAACCCGAGACCGATAGGGGAGGCGACGTAAAGGGACGGGACGACGCAGACTTTTTTTTAATTAAAATTTAAAAATAAACACGAAATTACTACATTACCCTACATTAAATTAGACTAATAGGAGCCCTTGAATTTTAATGAGGTTGAGTGGCTGAGATTCACTTAGCCATGTGACCAAGGGGACCCACTTAGTCATCTGATCTCAGCCCGTCTGTCTATACCTACAGGGTCATGCAATCACCTTAATAGATGATTTTTTTAGAAAATAAAATATGATTATTGTTTTATTTCCATGTCGTTATCTTATGTTGGTTGAGAGCAAGTCAAGTGTTTTATACTTTATTAGTCATCTACTCTAATCTTTTTGAAAAGTAATATTTGCAAGCCCTCTTTGAATAGGATAATTGTAACTTTTAGTGTTGAAAATGGTATGATTGAAAATTGCACAAATTTGAGACGATGAACTGTTTTGAATTTAAAAACTGGGATAATTATGCTATGCTTAGATTATAAGAATACAGTAAGAGAACATTTGGAATATTTTATATTTTATGACTAATTTCATGAGTTTTCCTTTTGTACACATAAAACTAGACCTGACAATCGGGTCAGGTTAAGTAATTTCGGGTTTGGAACTTCGGTTACGGGTCTGGTCATGTTTGGTTGGATTATTTCGGGTCAAATATTTACCCAACTCATTCGGTTTCAGGTCGGGTTACAGGTCATTTTGGGTTATGAGTGTTCTCAGAAATAATATCAAACATGATTCATATTTTCTTAAAGAACACAAATTTTCACATACGCATGACAATAGTTTACCTAACACATATCAATTAACATATTCTCAAATCCTCCCACACTAATCAAATGAAATATAAATTGCGCAAATCGTCAGAAAACAATCACAAGAGTAATACTACTACAAGAAACACATGATATTTGATTATCCTTAAACTCCAAACATGTCATTCAAATCCTTGTGAGTTTTTTTAAACATCTCACCAATTTATGAGTGATTTTATCATATTTTAGAAATAATATATTAAATAAAATGGGTCTAAAAGGTCGACCCTTTGGGCGGTTTCGGGTCGGGTCAACGGGTCAGATTGTAATTTGCCGGGTCTACATAAAACTATTCATCTTAATTTATTTCAATTACCAATAGTGTATCAAGAAAAGTACATCCATAGCAAGTCATTTAAGAAAATCTTGAAATCAAACTACAATCAAAATATTGATTTAGTCTAATTCAATCAAATGCAACTCATTAGATATTCATCACCACCCACCTTAGAGAGCAGACCAATTATCTTGTTTGTAATATTAATAAGGAAAATCATGAATAACACAAATACACAATCACATTTAAAATGATAATTTCTCAAGAGTAATGTTGATGTGTAGGGGTGGGCAACGGGACTGGACGGGATACCCATAGCGTTTGAAACGGGTACCCAGTCCCCATTTAGAGAGCAATCTCCATCCCATGTCCCAAACCCGTACGGGTTAACAAGTACCTATTACTCGTACGGGATGGATAACGAGTACCCGAACTACCCGTAAACACCCGTCCAATTGGGAGTAGCAACGTTGACTGCGGGGAATGAGATCGCCGTGTCGGAAGGGAAATCGTCTCGTCGCAAAACTAATGAGCCTAGGGAGATTGTCGCATCGGAGGGGAAATAAGGATTACCTAGTGGGAGGCCAAACTCTGATTAATTGAGTGTAGACAGTTATATTCCCTCTATGAATGAATACTAGTTACTAGTTTTCTCCTCATTTATCTTGTTTCCCGCAGTTATATTACTTTATATTTTAATATCAGTGACTAACCGTGGGAGGCCATACTGTTATATTTCTTTTACATATATCTTGTAATTTAATTTATTTTAACTACTAACTAAGTTCGATTTGGTCCAAATTCAATTAATTCAATTTAAAATTGTAAGATTTTTGGATTTAAAACGAGATTTTGACTACCTTACCCATAGCTTCCAGAAGTGTATGAGCGTGATTACGGATGGACAAAGAAACAAGTTCAATTTATAAGAATGCAAAGGATAAACCAAGCACAAACGGTGGTCGGTGGACAAGAATCATGTCGTCAACCACAAATAACAAACTAATTTGCTTGTCTAAGATAACATGACAGAATGAGAATGAGGTCACCACATCACTCTCTAACGCAATGAGAATGGCCAATGAAGCGTCACTGGAAGGTAAGAGATGTTGGCAACTTGGTTTTTTCCGATGATGTGGTTGTTTTTTTCAAATTTGGATCCGAGTTTGATCTTAATCGGTGAAAGAAAGTCAATACCTTTTTATTTTTCTTATAATTAGTGATGAAGAATTAGAATAAAGAGTTAGCATAAATTATCGTGGAAAAGATTCAAATTGCACGTGAATATCTATAGCTAAACTTTATTAGATAAGACAAGTATCAAATGTGTAATTCAAATGAGATAACAATCCAAGTATAGCTCAACCCCAATTTTTCCCTAATGAAGGATATATCTATACATGAGAAATCATATTGAAGTAGAATCCGTTAATACATCACATCCCCATTGAACTTCTTTTCCCCCCTCAGCCTTCTCAGAAGGTATCAGGAGAAGGAGCAAATGCAGTAGCAGTACCATCATCCGCAAATGTAAAAGCAGGGGAAGACAGAGGAGAACCGATTGGGGCTCCAATAGCTCCATCTTCTTCCCCAGCAGTTCCCATAGCACCACCGTCGAAAGCAGCACCTGAACTCCTGGGCTGATCGTACAATGCGCGACGAGGAGCACCATCCCCCCTGCTGCAGATATCATGCAAGTTCATTCCTGCACCAGCAGTCACGCCAACAAATTAATTAGGTTGTGATATTTTCAGCATTCCCCGTGTAGTGCTGGTAAGTAATTATGTTTGTACATAATATGTTACCTTCGGCTTGAGCCAAGTTGGAGTAGAGATCGAGAATGTTGGGGCAGTAGCTGGAACAGGGCTGGGAGCAGAGCTTGGCAACGAAGTTGTGGGAGAGGAGGTAATCAGAAGAGATCCCGACGGCGTTTCTGTCAAGGCCGCAGTCGTTGATGCATGCCTCCGTCTCGATCCATCCGCTCATCGTCTCAACAACCACTTCCGATGTCTTGCATTGGTACTTCACAATCCCTTTCCTGGCCAAGTAGTTCTCCAGCACGCATCTCTTTCCTGCGTCGGAGATCGAGTAGGCGCACAGCTCTACTGGCAGCTCCTCGCACATTAGATCACCAACGGCTCCTTTAAAGATCAGAAGGGAAGAGAGAGCGAAGAGAGCGATCGTCTTCAACAGGTTAACAGCCATGTTTGTTGTATAACGTTACTTAGGAATGGAATGAAATTGAAGCTGTAGTGTAGTAGGAAGGAAGGAAGGCAGGCAGGATGAAGGAATGTAGCGAGATGTGGATGTATATATATAGCTGGGCTGGGATGGGAGAGGAAACAATTTAGTTACAAGTCAAACTGTGTGTGTATGTGGGTAACGGCCGACTCCATTCCCAGCTATAGAAAATGTGGAAGAAAGTTAGATTTCTCCAACGTAGAACAATGAACATAGATTGATGTGAAAGGGAAAGGAAATGGGGTGGCGGAAGTTTTAAGGCCTGCATTGTTTTCATTACCCTGGGACTATCTTTTTGTTTTCTTTCAACACCACCACAACTTGATATAATGTGTTTTTATTCGCCCTCTTAACTTGTTATTCCAACTCTAACAAGTAACGAAGATACAACTAGATTATTAAAAGATCGAATCATGTTTAAGAATCCAGATTCAGTATGGAGGAAGTGAGTTCGTCCCTGCAAGTAGAAACTATTGGGCACAAGAACAATTGGACCTAAATGCGGCCCAACAGCCTAAACCAACTCAAAAATAAAATTGGTGAACAAAGTTCTTGGCCTACTAAGGAGTAGTCAACCTTTATCTGACAGAACTTCTTGCAGCAAGAGATGCTATTTGGTGGGTTAAATTATTTTTGAAAATTAGATAATTATGAGCTATAAAAATTTGCATAAAGCCAATTGAATACCAATACTACAAATCAAGAAAACTGATAGTTATTCAACATATTTAATTGCATACTCTAACACCAACTATTTCATTTGCGAACAAAAAATATTTATTGATAGTTATCATATTTTAAAATCATGAACTCTATGTTGTAAATCAAGTAAAATTTATGAAAAAAATAAATAATTGTAATTTAATTGAATCAATTGCGATTAACGTTTGGGATAAAAAAGGCAGTGTATTATTAAACAATGTGCATCAACGACTTAATATTTCATGTGATTTTGCGGGTAATGACCCACCCGCTACCCACCCACTATCATCCGCCACCGACCCCAATTTAGTGGGTGACAAAAAAGATGACCAATAACCACCCACCACATTGACCCAAACATGTAATGGGTGTGTTATAATCAGGTGAATTTGGGTGGGTCTTGCGGTTGACCCACCCATTGCCCATCCCCTACCCAAAACAGAAAGAGGAAACCAATCAACAAAGGCCCGTCCCAAGGAGAAGTAGACAAATCGAGAACACAAGACAAAGAGACCCTAATGGGAAAATGATCGAGACCGGATAGAGTGTTAATTAAGATTGTCAAATAGGTATATCTTGTTGTGTCGGTTTAACAAGTGAAATGATAAGATTAGTGATAAAAACTACTTTATACTGGTTTTATTAGAATACATAAGAAAAGTGAAAAATCATCAACACCAAATAAATTAGTTAGGGATCAAAGCACAAATTTTTTTTATACCTCTACTATCCATGGGAAGCAAAGGAATAAGGTTGTATTCCTCAAAGATGAGCAGGGAAATGAGTTTAATCAACCTGATGAGATCTCAAATCATGTCAATGACTACTTCAAGAATGTGCTTACTCGAAGTATTCCTGAGCATGACCAGTCGTTCCTTTAGGATTTCCCTAAGCTTGTTTAAGACCAAATCAATGTGGAATTATGTCGAATTCTAATATTGGAAAAGACTCAAAAAACGTTGTCTGATATCGGCCATAACAAATCGCCTGGGCCAGATGGGTTTGTTGGTTTGTTCTCTCGAAAATTGCATGAGTTGTGATGTCAGCTTTTGGTTTGAAAGACTTTCTAGAATGCTTTCCACTCACACAAGTTTCACAAAAGAAATCAGTTTTGTCTTTCAGAACAGGAACTCCACGAACATGATTAGATTTGGACAGGCTGACTAATTTATGCAGTCTTATATGTCTCATTTTTCGATGCCATAGGAGTTCTTGTTGGAAAGAGGAAATAAAACATAGCTCATTAAAAGCGTTTAGGTTGCTTAGATCAACAACTTACATGTTATTTGATCTTCTACCAACAAACATGACCTTGTTGTCTTGGATTCTCCTGACAACACATTGGTCCGTTTCAAACACAAAATGAAAACCATTGCTGCACAGCTGACTGATGGACAAGAGGTTGTGTTTCAGACCCTGACTCACTCCTACTGTCACTTTAGAAATTGGCCAAGTGTAATCACTTCCTAAAGCGTAGTATAGCGCGTTTGGGTTTTGATGTCAACCCGGTTCCTAGATTTGATGACTACTCAGTGAATTCTATTATTATCTAGCAGTGAAAATTTAGTGCAAGTCCAAATTAACAAATAAAAAAGCAAGTTAAACGGTTGTTTTCAAGTCGAGAGAGGTCACCCGGATATGGTTCCCCCTAGATTGCAGTTAAGCCGGAGTGCAATTTACCAAGTTCAGTTTTTATGAAAGTTATACTGCGGAAGGTTCTTAAACAGTCTGAAGTCTCGACTAAAGGTCTCCAGACCCTCTCAATCTGAGTCTCTAGCGGGCGACTAACCTCCACCGGAGTAAACAGATTGAGACCCTAACGAACCAAACCTCCACTACCGAATTGAATTCGGTACAGAATAGTGATGAAGCTCAAGCTATGGCACTTAGGAACTCTGGTTTGTCGCTTTCTCTCTCTAGGAATCGGTTTGTCTCTCTAAAACTCGGAACCCTTGATTTTTGGCCTTCTTTTCCTCTAAAAGGCTGACTGTCGCGATACCCGGTCGAAATACCCGGTCGGGTATTTTGGGTCGCGACCGAATATAATTGAAACGCGCCGTTTTTGCCTAAGGGGAAATCCCCGGTCATGGCCAATAATCCCCGACCGGGGATTTTCGCCTCCTGCCCGGGCCCCCTTCTGTTTCTCACGGACGCCCAAAGCCAAAAATCCCCGGTCATGGCCAGATAATACCCGGTCAGGTATTTCTGCTCATGGCCGGGTATTTTTGCTCTCCAGCACACTTCAAGCCTCACTTGCTCCTTTCGACTCGAATCTCGTTCCTTCGCCTCGATTCCAACGCAGGGTCCTGAAATATGACATAAACGTACAACCTCACGTGAAATCGTCTTAAAACACGAGAATCAACATCTCAAACGATTCAAGAATAGGGGTAAAAACATGTGCAATTATCGGTCTATCAAACTCCCCCACACTTAACCATTTGCTTGTCCCCAAGCAAACCTAACTCAAACCAATGCAACTCTCCAGACCTCTATAGCAACCAACAACCCCGATCATAGGTAGAGGATTTCCTAGATCATTTAGCAGCTTACGAGGTCAACCGACGCATAAGTCATCTCATAGCTTCTTCGCGAGAGCGCTAGTCTTGAGTCGGCATCATGGCAAATAGTGAACAGAGGACAAACGAATCGTGGATGAATGGACTCTCAAAAACAAAAGATCATGGACTCACTTTTTTTAAGGTGCTCTATTTTCTTTTTGAAGATGGTTGGAACCCCTTTTCTTTCTTTTTTGCTTGCTTTTCTGTTTTTTTTTTTTAAAGGTTCCAACCTGTTTTTCAGAAAATGGGGGCTCCCACCTAGCAGAGGTTTTGCGGGAGCCCGACTCTTACCGACCATGCCAGGAGCGGGTGTCTCGAGCCTCGTGCGGGGGAAAGACATGTAAGGGGGCTGGAAGTAGTAGGTGGAAATTGGGAACGGATTCCCGTCTCCACTTACACACTTTCGCCCTATTCGCATGGGAGACGTTATTTTAAAGCACATTTTCGAGCACCTGTCATTTTCAAAACATGATACAAGAGTCCATGACAGATAGAGAGTCCACAACACCACACAATTCAAGGGTCCTAAGATCACTAATTCACTCAATCAACCAACACAATATGAAGAAGAAATGAGACTTCTTAAATGCATCAACATCCTCCATAGTGCTACACTACCTCCCTGGGTTGCACATTACTAAAGATACTGTCAATTCAAAGCATACTGAGCAGGCAATTTCAAGGAACACGTACTTGGAGCCCTCAAATTTAAAAATTTGGACAGTGGACTAGGCGCCAAGCACACAAACAGATCTAATGCAGTCAAAAGATAAACATCCCCCCCCCCCACACTTAAGATCGACATTGTCCTCAATGGAGAAAAGGGAAGGAAAGGGGAACGATGTTACCAGTGTGCACGGACTGCAGGAGACTGGAAATGGACCAGTCGGAATGAAGCGGACTGGAGAGAGGACCAGTCAGGAATAAGCACAGCTAAAGGAAACCAAAGAGCACAAACAGAATACGTTAGGTCCAATGGTCAGCCCAATAGTACAGCATCTAAAATAAAAAAGAAAGAAACTAAACCGACACAAGACAGTTTGCACGCTGACAAAAACAAAAACACTCAAGACATGCCACTAGGGCCCTCCGAGAATAGTGAAGTCGATCTAGTTCATAAGGTCGTCGTCTCCATCCTCCGGTGGTGGTGGTGGTGGTGGTGAATGATCCCACCGGGTGGTCCAGTGGTGCTCCTCTGGTGGGTGACAAGCCTGGAGCAGGTTCTCTGAGTACTCCATCAATCGGCGGCCTCGATCTCTCTCCCGCTCGATGAGAGCACTAGTGACTCCCATATGGGTCTCTAAGCGGCCGAGGCGCTCGTCAACAACCGTCAACCTGGACTGGTACTCGGCCTGGTGGGCCGAATACTGCTGGTAGAACTGGACGTGATGGTACATGAGCTGCTGGTTTTGAAGACCGAGCTGCTGGAACTAGAGACCCATCTGCTGGAACTGCTTCGTGAAGAAGTCCATCGACGGACCAGAAGGACCAGAGGAAGACTCGCCTCTCTCTGATCTCCGTCGTGGCCGAAGGTCCCCTAGTGGAGAAAGCGGGGGCTCCGGCTCATCGGCATCCATGGCCCCGCCATCATCATCATCATCATCCTCATCCTCCTCCTCGCCGGAGTAGTCAGCGTCCTCCTCGTCTTCATCGAGATCCACAGCCTCCTCAGGAGGCATGGAAAGCCCATCTACCCAGGTG